TCCGTGCTGCTGCCCCCCTCACAATAGTTGCCTAAGAGGGGAATTTCCCCCATTTTCAAAAATGAAATTCAGGCCTTGAATACATGTCTAAAAATCCTGATTGGATTATCACTATAAATAGTTATAAATGATAAAAAGAAGACTTTCAAAAGATCGGTATCGGCAGATACTGCTTTCTGTGAGCGGTGATCGGCCTCAAAAATCCTGATCGGAGCACCCCTAATCTTGCACCTTGCATATGTATATAAATGCATATATATATTAGGCTTGCTGCGATAGACTGTGTTTTTGGTTATACCGGTGTTAAACAAAAAGTACATTTGTCTCTGAGAGAATATGTGGCGTCAGATGCCAAATGCTCCGTCATTCCATTTTTACTTTCAGTTTCTTTAAGCCGTTCACTGGCGTAACTCTTGCGCAAAGTTTGCACATTGCTTGTGTGTGATATCCATTGGCTCGCCTTCATGAAATAGCTAGGGCTGGCGGCGTGTGATGGGGCAAACCTGAACCGAATGGACCCTCATCACCGCCGCTGTTTAATTGCCGAGCGCGCCTCTCCTCGGGAGACCGGTCTCTTCCCCGTGCATGCACGCTGGTGTCCAGTGGGTCCAGGAAGGGTGCGTAGAGGGACTCCCGTGCCGCCAGAGTCGTGAGCTACCGGACCCGATGAGGAAAAAAAATTAACTTAAATGATTTTAGCAAATGGCTGCAATATAACAAAGAGTGAAAAATTTAAGGGGGTCTAAATACTTTCCGTACCCACTCTATATATATATATATATATATATATATATATATACTGTATATATTAGGGCTGCCACTAACGACTATTTTTGTTTCGATTACTCTATCGACTAATTTATCGATTAATCTAACCGATTAATTTCCCACAAAAAAGTCAACAATTTTAAAGAACATTTTATTAAACTTGCAACTGTGCCATTCAGTAGTGTACCATAAAAAAGTATAAATGTAAACAAGCCATTGACAAAATGTAAAACTAAAAGAGTAAAAATGTAAACAAACATAATAAAAAGAAAATAAAAAGAAAGTCAGCATGTTCTTAATGTCAATATATCCACATGTGCTGGGCTTCTGTTCATTACAGCTGTGAGTGCAACTACAAAGGGGGAAAAATATGTTTCAATTAACCCCAACAGTTGGGTTTTCACATTAAATAAATGCAATGTTTAGAGTCCACTAGAATCAAGTATTAAAATTTTATTATTAAAAGTTATTATTATTAAAAAATGTAAGTATTAAAAGTACTCTTAGAAATCTGTAAACAACAGATTTAAACAGACTTATCCAGCATGATGAAAAAAATGACTTACATTTACATTTAGTCATTTAGCAGATTTTTTATCCAAAGCGACTTACAAATGAGGACAACGGAAGCAATCAAAATCAACAAAAGAGCAATGATATGCAAGTGCTATAACAAGTCTCATTTAGCCTAGCCTTTAGCTAGCAGTTAGCTAGCCTTTTTTAATTATATAATAAATAACAAGAAAACGGATAGAATAGAAAAAGAAGAGCAAGCTTGTTTCAAGGCCTTTTTTTGCTTTTTGTTAATTGTATAATAAATAAAAATCAACAAATTGAATACAAACTAGTGTTAGGTTTTTTTTTTCTTGTTTTTTTTAAGAAAAACAAGCAGTTAGTAAATTAATAGAGTGCAAGTCTAAAAAGGGCAAGTTTTTAAGAACATAATTAGAATAGAGAGTGCTAGAGTTGGAGGGTTAAATAGAGATGGAAGAGATGTGTTTTAGCTGATTCTTGAAGATGGCTAAGGACTCAGCTGCTCGGATTGAGTTGGGCAGGTCATTCCACCAGCAGGAAACATTTAATTTAAAAGTCCGTAAAAGTGATTTTGTGCCTCTGGGATGGCACAATAATGCGCCTTTCACTTGCAGAACGCAAGCTTCGAGAGGCACAAAAGTCTGAAGTAATGAATTTAGGTAAAGGGGAGCAGAGCCAGTGGTGGTTTTGTAGGCAAACATTAATGCCTTGAATTTTATGTGAGCAGCTATTGGTAGCCAGTGCAAATTAATAAACAGAAGTGTGATGTGAATTATTTTCGGCTCATTAAAAATGAATCTTGCTGCCACGTTCTGGATTAATTGTAAAGGTTTGATAGTACTGGATTGAAGACCTGCCAAGAGAGCATTGCAATAGTCCAGCCTGGACAGAACAAGAGCTTGAACAAGGAGTTGTGAAGCATGTTCCGAGGTCTGAGAAAGTCAGCTGATCATCAATCATAACTCCAAGGTTTCTGGCTATTTTTGAAAGCGTTATGGTTGATGTGCCTAACTGGATGGTGAAATTGTGATGAAACAATGGGTTTTATGGAACCACAAGCAGTTCTGTCTTGGCAAGGTTGAGTTGAAGGTGATGGTCCTTCATCCAGCAAGAAATGTCTGTTAGACAAGCTGAGATGCGAGCAGCTATCGTCGGATCATCAGGATGAAATTAGAAGGTAGAGTTGAGTGTTGAACTTGAAAGAAATAAAGATTGGACATTTATTGTGATAATTGTCGATATTGACTGATATGAAAATAAATAGTTGTGATAATATTTTTGGCCATATTGCCCAGCCCTAGATGCATATGTGGATTTTCTGTGCAAGGTTACCCTCTGGCTTCCAGTATGGATGAAACAGACATTGCATGTGTTTATAGCGCTCAGTAATGGCCAATCCATAAATAAATAAATAATACTTAACTTTAATATATTTTTGAATAATAATCCAACGTTTTTCTACAGTGTACAGAAGTGTACTGGTGTTTTAATTAAAGTTTATTGTTTTTTTGTTTTGTTTTTGTAATAAAATTTGAATCGAAAAAAATATATATATACTAGGATGTGCCAAGCCATCAGAACCGAACTGTTGGTTAAAGGTGTGTGTGACTAAATGCAGACCTAACTGCATTTTGCACATTGTGCGATTACAATTTTGACATTAGCCATCAAGTAACTTCAGGTAATAATGTAGCTATATATGACACCCCCCCCCCCCCCCCCCCCAACCC